ATTTATATAATTTTAATGCTTCTTTAAGCTCATTTTGATATTTATTTAAAAGTAACTGTTGTGGTATACTTCTTAAATCTGGATTAGATTTAAGTAAAATTTTGAAAATCTTTAAAGAAATATTTTGAATTACTTCATAATCCATTTTTATTTTATTTTTTTTTTTTTAATTCTTTTATAAATTAAAGTAAATAAAATTCTTAAAATTAAATATTTATATATTTAACAAATTTTTAATATTTTTTATTAAATGAAAAAAAAAAAATAAATAAATAAAAAATCATTAATAATTTTTATATTAAATTAAAAAAAAAAAAATAAATTTACATTTAATTAATATTTTTTTTTTATTCTTTTGTTTGATTTGAATTCTAAAATCTCATTACACATTAAACAAATTTTATGTATATGAAATTTATATTTATAACTTTCATGTATTATAGTGTAAATACAACCACAACAAATAATTGTTTGACAATCATAATGTGATTCGATCCAAAAAGTATTTGTTTTACAATATGTTAAAAATCTACATCGTTCACAATGATGTTTTCCAAAAGATGATGGAAATGATTCTGAAGGTATTAAATAAAAATTTGGAATTGAAGTATTTAAATCTGCATCCACATATATTGTTTTTTCATTAAATTTTGGTTTATTAATAAAACGTATAAAAACATTATCATGTTTATATATGATATAATATTTATAAATTGGAGGATCATGTGAATCAGCATCTTTTTCCACTAGATAATATTTAATTCCATGTTTTTTATGAAATAATATACAAACTTCATTCCATAATTTACAAACATGTTTAAGTTGACGATATCTTCTGTTGAATATATCGATTTTATTTGGTAAATGAAATGAAAATATAATTATTAAAAGTTCAACGAAAAGTTTATTCATATTTTTTTAATAAAATACAAATTTTATCTACTTTTCAAATTACAAAAAAAAAAAAATCAAATATTTATATGTTTTAATAATTTTTAATTTGATAATTTAATTAATAATGATATTTTTTTTTTTTTTAATATTAATGGTGAGGCCATGCCTCTATATTTATTGAATATTTAATTGAGATTTTACATGAAGTACAATTCTGCTTTTAAAATATTATAGAAAGAATAGAAGCTCA